TGGACTTAATCTCGCCTTTGTTTTCTGGTCTAACAACTTCGTTCCCTTCCCCTTTATACCACTTAAGAAAATTTGCCTCATTAATAGATCTTTGTCCATTAAAAAATAATGATCTGTCTTTATTGGAATTAAATAATGACTTAGTATCTTGCTAAAACATTTGAGTTTTGTAAAGTAAAGCAAAAAGACATTAACTGTGCAAAATAACCAAAAAACTCTCCCCTTTTGTAGAAAACCATGAGCTCTTTTCCCAGAGCTTCGTCTCCATGGAAGTGCCTGTCACGGTCGTGAATGGCAAGGATGATATCCATGACGTTGAAGACGAGCTTGCTCGGAGAGTGAGTAGGTTGACCACAAGCACGACCATAGAAAACATCGAGATCACCATTAAGTCTCCAGAAAAAATTGAAGAAGTCTTGTCGCCTGAAGGCTCACCCTCAAAATCTCCATCCAAGAAAAAGAAGAAATTCCGCACTCCTTCTTTTCTGAAAAAGAACAAAAAAAAGGAGAAAGTCGAAGCCTAAATAAAGTCTTTTTATAGTTGTGATCACGACGTGACGTTGCACATTTAAATACCACATTTAAGTTGATCATTAATATGCAGTGGTAGATCAAATTGGGGGTACGCAGCAAACTGGACTCTGAGAACTGGAAAGGGGTTTTACTAAAAGAAACACACATTATGAAAAAAAAGCTTTCAAATTCATCTCTGATTTTATATGTCAAAAAAAGCCTTTGAATTTTTCAACAACTGCTAGTTTTGAGTAGCTCTGCCCTCATGAAGTGTTACAATTTACCACAGACAGATATGTCTGAAATACTTCAGGCCTTTTCTACAATATCTGTTGGAGAGAAATTACCAGTGAGAAGGGGAGAGAACTTTTTATTTCTCCACACCTGCTTCACTTGGTAATCAGATTATACTTTTTTATTCCTATCACCTGTACCTTTTCGGTTCCCATTGTTTCAATGGGCATTAACAGAATGCTTTAAAAAGCTTCTAAGAATCTATAGCGTTAGTATACACTGGCACATAATTTTTTAAAAAAAATATATAAGAAAAGATTCATTTGAAAATTTATTCATAGTATAAAATTCCCTCACCTGAAGTAACTTTGTTTGCCAAAAAAAGTCATTTTAGTAAAATATAATTTTTGAAAAACTTCCTTTTTTATTAGTTTAGAAAGCCCCTTATTTTTCAGCAAAGGGGATTTTATACACATAACATGGGTTATTTAGTTTAACTCTGGCAAAAAAAAAAAAGATTTTTGTATGTTGAGATGTTTGTATACCATTCAGTATAAAAATGTCATAAGCCTATTAGCCAATCGTTTAACAACAGAGCAGACTTGAGGCTGCTTGGCACCAAGTGTGCTCAGATACAATTCAGGAATCCAGGGACTTGGTGTGAAACGGGGTTAGAGGGTTTAAAGGTACACCTTAACTAAATCCACTTTGGAACCATATAATGTATTTTTCTCTTAGTATTGCTCATGAATGAAAAAGCTCTCATGATAACCAAAGGAAAAGGAAAAGAATGAGAAAGTGAAAGATGAAGGGAAAAAAAGAGGTGTCACAAATAGGAGAATTCTAGTTTGATCACGACTCACAGTCACAACAGATTGGAAGTGTAATTGATTCGAAACGTCCCAAATCTCTCAAATTCTGCTTCTCTTCCAAAACCACTCTATTTCTTGGTTGATAGTTCAGTTTTAAAGGATCAAATCCTTTTAACTGATAGGTGTTTAGAAGGCAGCACTAGAAGAAACCAGTAGGTCTAACCCCCCTCCTCCAGTGAGGAAACTACCACTTGTTGATTTTTACAAATGTTTATCTTTTTAGTTAACTTCCTTTCTAATGTAAATACAAATTTAAACCTAGGCTTAATATAGTTTTTCCCCCCTTCACCCAGGTGAGGTCACAAATCAATGTAAAATCAATGATCCAAAATGGTCGGTGGGTAAAAATAATCCGAAGTGTTTCTGGAGGGTGAGTTGGCATGCAAAACGTTCCATTGATCACAGCGTGTCCGGCTGGTTCTGTTTGACCGTACGTGTATGTGGATGCAAAGTTGAAACAGAGCCGGGAATTCATTCTAGATTTCACTAACTACTGGAACCAGTGTTTTAATCTCTTAGTGGAATACTTTCAGTTTAATTCTGTATTCGAGGATTTTCTTTATGTTCTATGTCATTTATGTTGTATTACAACGTATGTAGAAACAGTAACCTGTGAACTATGCTTTTCCATAACTTTTTAAAAATATATATATCTTAAATGAATGCAGTGTGCATTAATATTTTTTAAACTACAACAGTGAACTATTTGCACCTTTTGCTAATGCCTCTATTTACTTGCTTTGGCATAAAGAATGAGCCAATGAACTGTGTCCTGTGGAAAATGTATAAATGTTATCTGATATTGCTCTTAGATGTAATGCTAATTAATGTTAAATCACAAATAAACAGTATTTTAAATAGATGGATTTGGTATCATGACCTTTCAATTCAGAGTGGTAACTTAGCCTGAACTACTTGGTGGACTGAGTTTTATACTGTAATGAGATTTGGAATGGGACTGATGCTTCTGAGTGAGGAATGCCCTGATAAATTTATTTTCAAATTGGTTTAAAATTAACTATATAAAATCCTTCTTGTTGCAGCTTATACTGAAAGAAATATACTCCAAGTGACCTGTTTTCTGTCGGCTATAGGGTATGGTGACTTGAACTATGTCTTTGAGATCTAAAGGTCTTTGAAGGATTTAGGGTTCTCAGTCTCAATTCTCTTCAGAGCTGTGAATGTAGAATAGAAGATGCTCAGAATATGTGCTGAGTTTATATACATTACCCTTCTCTTTGATTTTTGTGTCCCTGCAACAATAAAGAAAATAGCAGAAAGAATAGAAAACAGGTTACGATTCCGCCACATTAAAAAAAAAATTCGCCCTGGCTGGTGCGGCTCAGTGCATTGGGCAGCAGCCTGTGAACCTTCTCGGGTTGGGTCCCTGTCAGGGCACGTGCCTGGGTTTCCACGGGGTCCCCAGCTGGGGGCCTGTGAGAGGCAACCAGTTGATGTTCCTCTTGTTTCCCTCTGTTTCTCCCTCCCTTTTCCTCCCTCTGAAAATAAAATTTTTTTTCCAAAAATTTTTATTCCTTTCCAGCTCTTGTTCAGTTATATTTGTATCGCCTGTATACTGGTTATCATGATATTAATGTAATTTTATTCTGGATTTTTTTCCTTCTTAGCATAGTATAATCCTTCCTAGAAGATGTTCAAACTAAATCCCTCACATAAGTGATTTCTTGTGATTTTTTTCCCACTTTGTCTTAAAAATAGAGTGCAAGAGGGGAAATCATGTTGATTGAGGGTTCTGGTTATTTGAAGTTTCTACCATAATTACCCATTATAAAAATGAAGGGTTGGGGCCGAGAAGAATAGATTCATAGTCTTAGGCATATTTAATTATTACCTTGGCTTCTAAATAAGCCTGTGGTGAAAAATTGCTGTTTTAGAAAGATGCTTATTTCAAAAGTCCCCTCCATAAAGCAACAAAGATAACTATCTTCAGTGCTCACTTGAGAGTCAATAGCATGAAAGGTGATGTTGCCTGTACCTTTTTCTCTATTGATTATTATTTTCATTCAGCGGGGAATAAAGAGAACCAAATGGGTCGATTGTGACTGCATTGGTTTCTCTTAACGTTAACTCCTTTTTTTGACGTAGGAGACAAAGGCAAGGTGATTTTTTTTTTTTTTAACTGGTGGGTGATACATACACTTGTAAGTCACAATCAGCTAAACCAGGTTTTAAAAAGAAGCCTTTGTGGCCACTAGAGGGTGCAATAGACCTACCAATCCAGGATGTTTCTGGTCGTTGCACTTCACTTCCGTTTATTAGTCTGTAGACACCACCATGTTTGTTGTGAAACGCCCAGAACTTGGAACCGAAGACATTTCCTTCATTGCTTATCATTCTCCTCACTGGACTGTTTTCAACTTTGTTGTCCCACCTCACCAGTACAAATAACCACTAGCAGGGTCTCTGATGTCTGTGGAAAACAGGTTGAAAATTTTTGAGGTGTAGTCTCTCAGAAAGAACTCAGGATAGAAAAGGACCCCTAGGGAGTTTTCATGCCTCTGAGTGGCAATGTGATACCTCTTTCAAAATAATCGGCATTCTTTTCCTGAGGAGATGATCGATAACATCTATCACTTGATGCCTTGCGTGTACCAAAGATGGTGGTGCTGTTTTTCCTGTGTTGCTTCATTAGCCTTCCCAAAACCCCAGCAAAGCGACATCCCCCATGTTGAAGAGAATGAGGCCAGGGCTTGTGGAAAACAAAAAGGAGATGCAAGAATTGCACCCGTGGAAATTCAGATTTCTAAAATCACTAGTGCTGTTTGTGAGCCAGACTGTATGTGGCTCTAGTGTGTATTGTTGAGGATTTTTAGGAAAAGGCAGTCTCCTTAGTTTGGACTATAAGTCCAGCCACGGTGACTTCATGTTTTCATATAAGATGGGATATAGACTGGGGATAAAACATTAAGTTTTGATTTAGAAGACTTATTTTTTTTTCAACAAGTTACTCCAAGAATGAAAAAACGTGAATACCTCGAGAGTGGGAATGACCTGTGGTGCTGATACCTACCATCCTTTAAGACGCAGGCCAGCTCTTGAATCTTTGGCGTGACACCTGGAAGACGAGGTGTCTGTACCTTTGCTTAAGATGTAAAGAAATTTGGATAGAAGCCCTTTATCTCTTACTTTTTTTTTCTTTTTGTTCCCAATGTCGGGGGCAGAGAGAGACATTCTAAGGAAAGTATTATTTTAAAAACCTGAAAAGACTGTTTAGTTAATGAAGTAGTTTTAAAGATGAGAAATACATTGTGTCTACTTACAGCTTTATTTAAATGAATACACTTGGAGATGATCTTTCTTGGAGAAAAACCTAGTGTATGTGCCAGAGATGAAAACAAGAATAAGCCTCTGAGAACTTTTCATAGGAAAAAAATGAATTTGTGAATTCAGTATTTTTTTCAGAGATTTTGAGATGACCGCTAGGGGGCAATCCTGGGTCGATCTAAATTTAGTTTTAGTAAATTGAGGGAACTTCCTTGAAAATACCTTTGAGCTTGGATTGAGAACTTCATTCTGATGCTGAATGCAGTTTAAGGTTGAGAGGAGTTTATAGATCCCGAGTGACTTCATTCGAGTGACTTCATTCGTTTCTTGCAACCTGGTTACCCCATTTGACCCAGGAACAGTCAGTCCTCCAAGAGGAGCTGTGTTTGCCTGTGCAGCACAGCTCGGGGGTGGCTGCACCGGGATTCATGCGAAGGTCTAAGGTCTGCACCCCAAGCTTTTCTACTCCACAGTCTCCCTTGGACACCCATTGATCGTAACCTAGAAATAGATCAATATAGGAGACACGTAGATAAATATACTCTTTTAAATTTCTCTGCAAATTCATGCTTAGAACTATATCATGGGAGTAATTAAGAGAAACATTGCAGGACTAAGCCTGATTCTTATGATTCAGTAATTGTTTTTTATAAAATTTGAAGTCTGTGAGATGGTCTTTGAAAGTCTTTTGTGTATTTTCTTGAGTTAATCATGATGCTGAGTTCTTTACTGCTGCAACCTATAATATTTTAAGTACTGGTTATACCTTAAATGACATACTGGTACCTTTGGAATTCCTCCCATAGCAACAGCAACAAAAAGTAATATCTCTTATTTAGCAGAAAAATAGATGGATATAATCCAGTCCACAATTATTTTTAAGGCCTGAATAATTTCTGTTTGGGTGAGTCTTGACCGAAGCAATGGTGAAGGTTATCGATTATGCTAGTTTTTGTTTTATTGCTGCACAAGCTACTTCAGGTTTTGTCCTTCTCCGGGGCCAGTCTTGACATCCATTATAATGTTTTATTTTTTATAATCTCATATTATCAGTCCAGGGAACTCCTGTTACTAGACAAAGTAATAATTCCTCACTAAACTCCATACCCGAAAATCAGTAGCATCGATTTTATTAATCTAATTTGGATATGGACAGAATAATATTAAATTCCTAAGAAATTCTAAAAATTTTAGACATGCTTTTGAAATGACAAATAAGAACACGTATGTAGTATGAAATCTCATAGACAAGATTTTCCCTCATTATATGTCTGCTTGTATCAGACCACCCCTCAAAAACCCGGGAAATGTGTGAGCCCTATAGAGAGACCAATTTGGGGTGTTAATTAATTGGACTTCTTAGACCAAACAATGTCCTAGCTGGTTGCTATTTAAACTTGAGATTTTTTTTTCAAGGAAAATGTTGGATTTCCCAAAGCTGTAATAGCCTAACAGATGGCGATGGAAATGAGGAAGTAGTATGGTTCTAAAACCCAGGAGTTCAGAGGTAGACTGTTGTGGATTTCCCACTGGTTCTCTCTACTTAAATAATCTATTTCATTTTAAAGGGTTTAAAAATGAAGTTGGTGGTGACAGTCCCAGCCTGGCCTGGAGCTGCGGTGTGACTAAACTCTTTTCAATGATTTTCCAGCCTAGTCTTGTGTCTGCCCTTACTTAACACGGGGCATTCTCTTTCATAAGCAGGATTTAAATGAGTTGTTTTTTCTCAAAGCAATCGCTTCTGATAATTCTGATTGAGCAGGAGCTATGGAGGAAGTCGTCGTTGCGCTCTATAACTCACCCCTTTCCTGTTGAGTAATGCTCCAGGAGCTGGATTTCGGTGGCGACTGGGTTGACAGACTTGGACTTCAGAACAGATGAGCTCCTGACACTTTTGTGAGGCCATGAAAGATACAGCCAGTCTGTTGGCAGGCACAGGCATACTCTTCCAAAAGTGTTTACTGAACTAACAAGTTAAGGTTAAACATTACTTCCTACCTGACTTCTCTTTTGGATATTTGCTTCAATTGCTTCAACTGAAAGAAAGGTCATTTGAGGCTGCTAAGACAACCAAAAATGTGTTCTAAATATTATCTACTGGTCCACAGTGGGGAGAGGGAGGGGAGAGGCTCCCCCTGCACCCGGATGTTTGGGTGTGTTAAGCCTTTTAAAAATACGATGTGTGGTAGTTGCGAGGTGTTTTGTTTCTAAAATATCTTTTACATAGTTTTATGTCTTAGAACCATGTACATGAAATGATTTTGCAAACGTGTAGTCTTACGTCTCCATTTCGACCTTTAGGCTAATATGGAGCAAGACGACGTGCACGTACACTTGCTACAGTCAGGCTGAGCGTGGCTCAATTCACTGCGGAGGAACAGGGCAGACTGGGTGGGGCAAGCTCTGGAATTCTACCCACGGAGCAAAGTCAGGCGCTGGGGGAACAGCTCGAGCTGAAGCAGCTCGTCGGAAGTCCAGCCCAGCAGGTATAACACAGGATCTGGAAGACGTGGCAGTCAACCAAAAACACAATCTGGTGAAGTGGTCTGCATTGGGGAAGTGGAAGTCCCGATCAGGAATCCGGTACAGAAAAGCAGGAGTGCAGAAGTCTCACAGTGCGTGTAGGCGCCCCAGCCACAGGCGAAGCTTCGAGAGCAGCGCTTCCTCCATTTCCTGTGGGGCAATGGCAAGATCAGGCAGGACCTCAGGCTTCAGGGGCCCGAGAACAGTTCATCAGGACAGGAACTCAGATGTGAGGAGAATGACAGATGGGGATCCTTTTACTGGAGCTGAGGTACGTGAGACTGCTCGGAACCCCAGGCACAGTGCAATGCTTGGAGCCAAGACACAAGGTCATGCCTGGCCTGGAGACGAGTACGGCTTGACGCTGAGTAAGTTTTAGAGCCTAGAGCTACAGCTGCCTTCGTTCTTCCTGCCTCATCAGGACCTGTCCTGGAGACCACAACCGGGTATGAGGCTCAAGTAGCCCCAGCCGTTGGGGGAGAAGGAACCTGACCTCCACAATACAAGCAGCCCCACGTGACAAGAGCCTCAGTCTCATGAGAGTGCTACAGGGCAGCAGGAATGGGCTACTAACATTTCACAGTGGAACCTACCTGGAAGGACCACAACGACGAATGAACAAGGGCCCAGTGCCACTCAGATACTGGCTGTACAGATGGCCTTACGTTTCCTGCAAACTGATTGCCCCTATCAGAAGGCACAGTTTCACCACAGAAAAATGAGCTCTAGTGATGCCTCTGGCTCCCCGCCTAGGAGTCACTATAAGATGTTCTTCAAAGTATTGATTAGACAGAAAAGAACCAAAGACAGTGGTCTGTGTTTCCTCCTCCTCCTGGAGTCAATGAGCCTATGATTTTAGACTTAGAAAAGCAGCTTTGATGCTACGTAGTATTTCCTCCATGACCCTCTGGCCGTGGGAATAGTCTTTGGCCCCTGAGTCGGAAGACCCCTCTGACCCGTCTTGCCACATTTGTACAGATAATGACCTCTCAGTTCACTCCTCAGCCTGCTACTAAAGAGAATGGCTTCCTGGGGCCCTCACCTGTAGGAGCCGGATCTGTTGTCATCGTCCGTGTGAATCATCCAGCCTTCTATTCCCACAGCTGCCATAGAACACCCGTCCCCACTCCCTGGCAGACAGCTTCTTAACACTCACCTCCCTTCACCTACGTGCCCAGCAGAGGGCCCGCTGCCTTCCCAGCTCTCCAAGCACTCTCCGCTGATGGAGGATATTTTTTTCACCAAAATGACTTTCTTCCACCCTTGCTGGTGTGGCTCAGTGGACTCAGTGCTGGCCTGTGAACCAAAGGGTCGCCAGTTCGATTCCCAGTCAGGGCACATGCCTGGGTTGTGAGCCACATCCCCATTAGGAGCCACACAAGAGGCAACCACACAAAGATGTTCCTCTCCCTCTCTTTCTCCCTCCTTTCCCCTCTCTCTAAAAGATAAATAAATAAAATCTGTTTTTAAAAATGGCTTTTTTCCACCCTGGCTGGTGTAGCTCAGTGGATTGAGCACGGGCTGCGAACCAGGCATTGCAGGTTCAATTCCCAGTCAGGGCACATGCCTGGGTTGCAGGCCATAACCCCCAGCAACTGAACATTGATTTTTTTTTTCTCTCTCTCTTTCTCCCTCCTTTCCCTCTCTAAAACTAAATAAATAAATAAAATATTTTTTAAAAAAGACTTTTTCCTTCTACGAAACTTCAGTAGCACCTTAGGATCACACTTATCCCAGCCTGTCTTAAGTTAACGTTATTGATTCTGTATCTGTCTCCCCTATAAGACTGTCAGCTCTGGGAACACGGGGACCATGTGATTAAGAGCTTAGGCCCTAGAGTCATAGAGACCTGAGTTTGACTCCTAGCTCTCTACTTTTCTGTAAAAGGAGTATGGAAATTTGGGTGGTTGTAAGAATTAAACAGGATTACAATGTACAGAAAACTTAGCACGGAGCCCAGTGTTAGTAAGCCCTCAACGCTGGTATTGTTGGTACCATCCCTTTTCTGGATCTCCTTATCTGCCAAAAGAGAATGCATGTTAGAATGGAAATTAAACTCTAGCTGGCTTACCCCTTTCACTGTTGTCCATTTGCAATGTTGTCATTCCTGTTCTTCCCAGAATCCTTTGCACCACGGCAACCAGATTTCCAGTCTTTGGAAAAGAAGGGCAAAAGAGGAGGAGGGAGGAACAGATAACCCTACATAACTTGCTCTTTTCCAGTAAGAAGCCTTGTTGTTGGGACATGGGGTTTGTGCCCTGGGAAGATGATAGATGAAGGAATTATGTTGATTGCTCCCAGACAAGATGCCCAAGAGATCCAATGGGGACGCCCGGGCCTAAGGCAGCCTGGAAAGGCCTGAAGGCCTATGAGCGATCTCTGTGATTCCAAGAGTGTTCAATGGAAGCAGCCGTCTCTGGGGTCTTGCTGGAAAGGGCTCCATTTCCTTGCTCTCTTTGTGCTCCTTGGAAGTTGCATCTATCACCCAGGGGGTCGGTCACCCGCAGGCTCTGTGGCCCCAGCAGTCTCATCTTGGCAATCTAAGAAAGTCTTTTATGAACAAGTTTAAATATGCCTCACGATTTCAGTTTTCCCTCTCGGGGAGCTCTGGTGACAGGTTATTCTGAGCTGTTCTCCCAGCAGCCTGGAGAAGACCCAGCAGAGGCAAGTTCACAATCAAGTCTAGGCTGGGAAGAGAGCATTAAGAAAATAAATATGCTTCCTAAGAAAAGCCTGCAGATACTTACAACAGAATGGCCAGTAGAGGAAGAGAGGGAAAGGGTGTATATAAAAGTAAGTGGGGGGACAGGGGGAAGAATGTAAAATTCTCTCTGTGATCTGAAGAAGTAAACATATTACACACTTGTGTATTCACAGGGGAAAGACAGAAAAGAGGGTACCCAACAGCATGTATTTAACAGTGGTGATTCCCTGATGTGGGGGGTTACAAGTCCTTTTTATATTCTTGACTCTCTTTTATATTTCCAATTTTGTTAAAGATTTTATTCATTTATTTTTCAGAGGAAGGGGAAGGGAGGGAGAACCAGAGGGAGAGAAACAGTGGTCGGTTCCCTGTCTCATGCGCCCAACCAGGGGGCCTGGCCCTCATCCCAGCCACGCTCCCTGACCGGAAATCGAACCGGCAACCTTTTCGTTCACAGGCCAACACTTATTCAGCCGAGTCACACCAGCCAGGGCTATATTTCCGAACTTTGAATAATGTTAAAAACTCAGAAAGGTAAAAAAATTACAATAAGTAGAGGAACTGTTATTTTTAAGTCATATGTCAATATTGAATAATAAAAAGCGTAGTGCAGAACAATGCCTATACTATGCTACTATTCATGTAATAAAGGGAGCAAACAATAACATATCAGTTTGTACACGTATAAAATATTTCTGGAAAACTGAACCAGGGATCAGGCACAGAGAAGTGGCCATGGGAAAAGGAACTAGCCCGCGGGGGACAGAGTGGAAGGGAGACTTTTCACTGTAACTCCTCTCTCTTTTTTAAAGATTTTACTTACTTTTAGAGAGAAGGGAAGGGAGAAAGAGAGGGAGAGAAACAGTGTGAGGGATAAACATTGATCGGTCGCCCCTTGAATGCACGCCGACCTGGCACTGAACCCACAACACAGGCGTGTGCCCTGGCTGGGAACTGAACCAGCGACCTTTCACTTCGCCGGACGAGCCCAGCCCACTGAGCCACACCAGTCGGGGCACTGTAAGTCCTCGTATGCCTTGTTTTCTTTTGTCTAGCAACTATGTAAAAAGTTTTTAAAATACACTTTATGTTTCTGCCCTAATTCTGTAATGCCAACAGTTCCTGAAAACCATCAGAAAGCGCATCCCTACAAGTGATCTGTGTCCCCCATTTGAAAGCATGTCCACGCAGCACGGTCGGGTGCAGCGTCTGTGAGACCCCACGCTGCCCTTCATCACACCGTGCGACGCCGTTTGTTTATCTGAAGGCCCACACGTCAAATGCATGTCCTCACTCAGAGCCAAAAGAAAAAAATAGTTTTAATATGACCCATCAAGTTTCTATTTTTGCCTTGACTTCCCAGAAGCCTAAAGCTATGTTTTGTCTTCAACCAGATTTCTGGTCAAAGGGAGTGGCCACACTCTTCCCTGTACCCGCCCCGCTCACTACTTCACTCTCGTCTTTCAAATCTTGTTCTAACGGCTTCCCGTGGAGCCAGAGCTATGCCTTTACCTAGATGCAGTCTCAGAACCTTTTTAGGAGTAGATATGTATATTAGTTACTATTGCTGTGAAACAAGTCACTCTAAAATAAAGGGGCTTGGAGCAACAATATACACTTCCTACCCTTCACAGTTCCTTTGGGTCAGAAATTCAGGAACATTTGGACTCACGGTCTTCCAAGAGGCTGCAGCTAAGACGTCAGCCAGAGCTGCAGTTAAAGGAGAGTTTGAATGAGGCCAGAGACGCTGCTTCCAAAGGCTGGCACGTTGGTGCTGGCTGTTGGTGGGAAACCTTCGATCCGCCCCACATGGGCCTCTCCACGGGCTGCTCGAGTGCCCTCGTTACAGGGTGGCCCACGGAACAGACAGTCCCAGAGAGAACAAGGGTGGAAACCACGGTGCCTTTTATGGCCTTTGCCTCAGAAGTCACACACCTTCACTTCTGCCATATCATCTTCACTAGAAATGAGTCACCAAGTCCAGCCACTCTTCAAGGGGAGGGCTGTTCCTTTCCCAAAACCACCACAGGGTGTGATAAGCAATCAGCACTAGTCAGTATCAAAGTAGTCAAATGAGAAGCAAAAGGAAGGTCATTTTTCAGAAGGGACACCACCTGCTTGCGATATGCTGGGCCCTGTGCTTCATATTCGGTATTACGTTTAGTTTCAGAAAAACATTCTCAGCCTCACAGTTGAGGAAAGGAGACCCCAAGAGGAGGTATAACTTGTCCAAGGTCACATAGTGAGAAAGTACCCGGGATCACGGCGAATACATGTCGGCCCGAAGTCCCGGGCGTGCCGTCACCCTGCCCCAGTGAGAAACGGAGGGTGTTCCCGATCGATCGTTAGTTCCTCTGCCCTGTCCGAGCCGTGGCCGTGCTGTGCCGAGGAGAAGTGGGTCTAATCCTCCACGTTGAGTGAATTCTAACAGAGCTGTTTAAACTCCTCTCTAAATCCTCTGGAATCAAACAGGTGATCATTCTCCTGCGAAGCACGTCCCCTGCCTTCTGCCGTAGCCGGTATTTGCCCAGCCTGGGCGGTGCCACGCCGGTCCTCACCCCTGGCTTTGAAAGCCAGCCAACTTCTCCTCCCATTGCAGCTGGCTGTGACAGAGTGGCCAGTGGGGTCAGTGGGGCAGGGTGACAGAGCACAGGGATGTGTGAGGACAAGGCCCTCCCTCTCATGGGGACTGAGCCAAGCCCAATAGGGTGGAGATGAGACAGCCCATCTGCCATGGTGCCATGCTGGACTGCAGGGGCCTGATAAGGCCAGGGAACCACCCACCCAACTTGGCGTCCTCTTCCCAATATAGACTTCCCCCAACACTGCCCTCCTAAGCCATTGGTTGTCACGTGGCTGCTTATCCCCAAAGGTAGTGGGTGGCCTCTTGGCTGCTGCGAGATGGGACCTGATCCAGGGCAGGACCAACTCCTTGGGGTGCCAGGCTTACTGGCCGCGGGCTGTGAATTCCCAGTTCTCCGGCCCCCGTGTCTCAGCATTGGCCACTCCATTCTTCTTGGGGAACAGATTTCCCTGATGGATTCTCTGGTCAGCACTGGCCTTTCTGCAGAGAGCTCAGGCCTGGGGGGTCACTGGTGTCTCAACTCATCAGACACAGGTCCCCATGCGGGGTGGAGGTTGGCGGAACCAGCACTCTTGTCCGAGACAGAGCTGGGGTGAGAAGGAGGTCAGCTGGGCCGGTAGCCAGGGCTCCAGCCTATACAGCACACAAGGCCATCCCGATGAAGATGAAAGGGACGAGAACATGAACTTAGCAGAACCCCTCTCGTGCATTATCTCCCAAACGCCCGTGGATGACAGGACACCACGATGGACCGCTCTGAGGTGAGGGGAGGCATGGAGAGAGCTCTTGCATCAGTCTATGGCCCAAGACGAAGATCTGGTTAACAGCAGAGCCCTTTCCTGGGTGTGGCCTACGCATTCGAAACCCAGGGCTGCGCCCACCCCACCCCGCTTGGTCCTCCACCCTTCCCTCTGTGCTCAGCCTCCTCTCTAAGTGAAGGAGTGACAACTATTGAGAGGTTATCAGTTGGGGACCACTATCAGGTCATTAGCTCATGAGAGGGACCCGGGGCTTGTCCGCCCTGGTTGCAGCAGTGTGGTCATGGGGCCGCCCTCTGAGCGGGGCTTCTCTGCAGTGGGCCAGGGCCGGTGCTCACTGGGACACAAGGAGACGCTGGGAGGGACCGAACCTGGAGATGCTGCTGGCTATCCGCCTTCCCCTCAGATCTTCCTCCTGGCTTTATGGCCAACAATTTGGGGTTGAATGTTCCTCTTCCCTGGAGCTGGGGCTGACCTCCCTGGTGAGCCCCAGGACACGTGACATCGATGAATGAAGGAGTATGAGCCCGTGATTCTGCCTGTCCGAGTCACGTGCAGGTGAGGGGAAGCCCTGCCCGGTGGCCTGCTGACCTGCCTGTCAGCCGCGTTGCCTGATCTGTCATGTGTGTGTAGTGTGGGCCCTGCGAGGAAGCAGCCTAAGGGGACAGGGGACAGGAATGATAAACTCCACGTCTCAGGCAGTATGCGGGTGCTTTACAGGAATGGTCACACTCCCGACGATGCCCCCAGGGTGGACCAATGTCACTTACCGTCTTCTGAGTGAGGGCCCGCAGGCCCTTAGCAGCCGACATACCTGCCGAAGACGGTGATCAGCAAGGAGGGGTCAGGATTCAAAGCCTGCTCTCTCTGGCTCCGGAGCCCTTGGAGCCGCCGCGGTGCTCCTGAGCGGAGCTGCTGCTTCAGTGCTTGGAAACACACTCCATTCTTGCCTCTCCTGTCTCTGCTCTGCTCTGCTCCACCCCCCTCCGAGGATGGAGGCTGGGCCCTCCGGCCTTGGGCGCTGTTAGGGATGCTCATGTGATCCCCGCTGTGATGTGATCCTGTCCAGAACACGTCTGGGCCGGAAGCGGAGCCACACGTGTGTCCCTTGAGAAGGCAGAGCCCAGCCTGGTGAGGAGCTGGGTGGCGGGTGCCCAGGCCTGTGAGCACAGCTGACAGACGACTATCCCAGAGCAAGGGAATGTGGTGAGTCAGGGACAGTGGCGCAGAAGGAAGCCCGCCTGTGAACTTTGGAGTCAGAAGCTCTGCCACAGCCCAGCTGCATGGCCTCGGGGAAACCTCTTCCCTGAGCTCAGTTTTCTCAGCTGTTCAGTGGTGCTGAGCCTGTCTACCTCACGGGGCTGGTGCTGGGGATGAAACACTTGTGAGTCAAGTGCCCGGCCCTGAGCTGGCCCTCTCCAGGCATCCACATGTTGTCCCCGGAGGGCACGTGAGGCCCCTCCTGGGACCTCCCTTTGGTCCCACCCTGACTGCACCCCTTCTACTCCAGTCTCCCCTTCTTCCGCCTTCATGACCGAGGCCTCTGAGTGGCCAGAAAGATGGGCCTGACTGTCCAGTGACACTCAGGGAGG